TTCCTACTTACGTGAATCCACCCTTCAGGGGTGGCAGTTTGGCTGCCCAATATTTGAGGTACACCGTGAGAGCCCCTCCTTCTTCCTCTTCACCTCGTGATTGCAGAGTGGTTCCAGTGTATTGAAACTGACCGATATTCGGGTCGGCTGCATGGACTAAGGTGGTTCCCTTGGATATCCACGTGACGGTGCGACAGAGGACGCGGAGGCCGACAGTGTAGGTGCATGCGAGATCGGAGAGTCCACTAGCCCTACTGAGCTAGCACCGAGGTCTTGTCTGTCTTTGCTACGTCACGCAGGAGCAACTGTATGGTGGTGGGGAACAATGAATGTCTTCATTGTGTGGGAAATTTCATAGCTGGTGCCTCGCTAACTATATAACTACACACACGACATCACGCACATTTGTACGACTACTGGCACAGTTGTGCTGTAGAGTTGTCAAGGTTGTAGGAGAGGTTCGACAGTGTACTCCCAGCCTGAGACTCAATTATGTTGGGGATATTCCATTACTAAAGTTGAATGCACAATCTGGCCACTTTGTCAAACCCTGGGACAGCGGTTCTCGTTTGAGTTTGTGGTGTCACAGGAGAGGACATGTGCCTCCCTCATTGACTGTAGTTACTCCCGATGATTACGGAGTTAGAACACGTCCATACAATACCATTTACACATAACCCTTACCAACACATGGATACATATCCGTCTCAAGTAACCCTGACTGTAAGCTGTCCTTACATTCTGAGCCACTAACCCCATCTAAACACATCAACCGCACAGTCAGGACAGGGATGCCTGAATGTCATGCTATTAGCAAAATCAACCACCAGACTTCCATAATCCACCATCCCTGGATTGGTGAGTTCCAATTAGGAAAGTGGTGTTGGCTGTGTCTACTGCTCCTTGACAACACCTGGACACAGACAGTTCCTAGTGACATATCTATCTGGTGTGGGAGCTGACACTGACCAACAACTGCACACCGTGCTATACAGTCATCCCCATCTGCGATATAGCTGAAAAAAATCTCAATTTTATAGGTACTATAGCTACTACTTTGTGGGTTCATTGGCGCCTGATAATCGAGTCTCGCGATTGCCGACAGTTCGACCACCCATCGCTCAACCTCAACACCGCTGCTAAAAGCGAACACCCGCATCGAAGCTAGAAGTGGAAACTGCATGTATTTGTCACAGTTTTTCTTCCTCCCCGTAGAAACCGAACCAATATGGTATTCAGTGCCTATTCTCGCGTCCGTACGGGCCAGGTAATGCATCATTACCGCCTTACAGCCCCCAGCAAGATCTACTGTTAATTTTAGAGAGTTAGCTAGGTTTGGGAATTTACCATCAGAGTGCAAAGCGAGGTACTAAATCCGTATTAACCTCGACGGGGGTTTCTACCCGTAAACCTACAGAAAAACTGCAAAACCCTACAGTTAAAAACAGGAAAGCATAATAACATGTAGCATGTAACAACAAAATCACTGAATCTACATTGGCGCCTCAAGGTTGACGCGTCGTCCACAGTCGCACGCGCAACCCCACTCCCACTGCGCGCAGAACGTCACCGCGCCGCGCACAACCAGAAAAAGAAGGCGGAGCGCGTGTCCTCGGCCGCTTCTCCGCATTTTCTTGCGCTCTGATCATCTCCAGCCAGTCATCGCTATAAGCGCTCCGCCATACGAACGAACAGGAAAGCCAGAGCCTCAACGTGAAGCGCGCTCACACTCTAAAAAAGAGTCTCCTGTAAATATAGCGCGAGACAGACACGCCCATCTACGAACCGGACGCGTGCTCATCTTTTTACTAAACGGCGTGATGCGGCATTCCGCGCTGGCATGCTTGGCCTTACGTTAGTCTCCGCGGGCCAGCGTCCGGTGGTTTGCTTGCCCACGCTAGACTAGCTTGACGTAATGCATGGCTAGCAGAACACAAACGAAAAGGACACACTCTGTAAAGCGAACGAAGGATCATTAGTTTTTCTGTTGACTACAGACATAGGCCTCATTCTGTGAGAGAGGAATGACTGTTGCCATCCTATCTGGGTCTTCATAGATGTCTCCTTCATCCTCCTCTCCCTCTCTCATTTTCATCCTCCTCACTCCTCCAACACATCTCCTGACTGCCTGGGGCAGCAGCAAACCAATGACCACACCCACTGGTAGAGACACTAGTAGAGTGATGGTGAACGCGATGGCCACAGCACCTCCAGTTGATAGAGTTTCACTACTGGCTTGTTCAGCTGTGCATATACAATTAATGAACAGTGAAATATAAGTGTTGTGTGCAATGTTTGATCAGGCGTGGGAAGTTTAGTTAGTTAGCCATACTCACAATAATGTTGGACAGAGAGAGTGAATGACCCCTGAACTCCACTGGCAGAGCAGACATACACACCACTGTCCTCTACTCTTGCCCCCGGGATTGTCAGAACACCTGGTTCATGTAGGGTGGGACATTAAACTAAGGAGAACTTGAATGATTGGAATGCAGTTAATTCAATACACAAGGAGCCGGAACCTTGTTCAATGAGTCTGCATGACAAGACATACCCAAACACCTTTCCACAAATGGCACCTTACCACCCCTTCTCACCATTAGCCTGGGTGGATCCCTCGGGCAGTGGTCTGCCATCTTGTCTGGCCCAGGTAAAGGTCACGGGGTCATTGTCCACCTGGTCCAGGGAGCAGGTGAGGATGACAGTATCACCAGACATGGTCTCTAGTGTGTCGTCCACAGCTCCATCTCCTCCTCCTATCACCACCATACCTGGATGAGGGGGTGGGGGAGAATAGAACACACATTGAATACATTTCACTAACCAACAGTGCTAAACCTGACGGCGTCACTGAAATTCGATGGACCATTGAAGTTAACAGAAAGAAGCCTGGCATCATATGTAGTGAGAGGCATCAGTCCTGTCGTGTTGTATGATTCAAATGTAATGCCTGGGATTCTTAGAATCGTCTCATTTCCACAGTCTAGCATATTGTCTGATCTCCAGTGTGTACGTCTCACGATAACCACCTGCATCATACAATAAATCACGAAAGTCACATTTCCAACCACTCTCTGTGTCCCGTCTCCATATTATCGTCCCTTCTCTTTCTAAACCTTCACACACACACACACATGTACACACCAGGGTCTGTCCAGGAGATTCTGGCGGAGGTGTTGGTGACCATGGATATGGCGGGTGGGTCTGGGATTTGTGGAGGTCCCACAGGGAGAGTGGTGATACTGATTTCCACTGGATCACTGGTCCTCTCTGGCCCTGTACTACCATCTCTGTTGACAGCTATGAGTACTAGCCTGTGAGAGACATGGAGGAAGAGAGGGAGAGAGAGAGAGAGAATGTTGCTATGACACAGTTTGCCCACTGGAAACAGAATTGGGCAACGGTTCAATAATTGAATCTGGTTGGTAAAAATTCTTTAAACTCGCCATCTTTCCGTGCCTGCAAGCATAAACGCTTAGCCACCTACCTTACAAGACCCAGTGCCAAGGGGAGCCAAGCTGTACCAAGTAAATTTTTTATTGCACTCTCAAACTACTCGCCTTTAATCGTTACAACTCCACATGGAACAGGCGTGGCAGCACGTACTTACAATCACCCAAAACTACACACAAGTGGTTAACGTTATTGGTTATAGAGCATTACACAACTTGTGTTGTAGCACTAGGGTTGGAGAGATATGCTCACCTGTAATCAGTGTCCTGTTGGAGGCCACTGAAAGTGAACTCGAGGTTGGAGTTAGCCAACACTGTTTCTTCCCTCATACCATCGGGTCCTCCACCAATCTCAGTGAGAGTCAAATCATACCTCACAATGGGTCGACCTGTGCAAGGTGGGGGAGATAAGAGAAACAGCTCTATTAAACATTAGCCCTATAGATAATTGAAAGTTACAACAATAGCCAGTATAGATAACAAGGAAATCTCAGAAAATCCTTTGTTGCCCCTTCCTTCTTTCTAAGTAAAGTGTGAGTTATTACTCCCCACATCTTTGTTACTGGTCATCAGGGGAGTTTCCCAATCTTTCACCACGTCATGTGTTTCGGCCTCTTTAAACTCCCGACACGTGAGACACTCCAGAAAGGGCGAGGCCACGTGTGTTATGAGATGCGAAAGAGAGAGAGAAGAGGCGGGAGAGGGAAGAGGAGGAGAGAGGCTTGGTACGATGTATATACCTCCATCGGTCTCAGGTTGTTCCCAGAAGACAAAGATGATGAAGGGATTATCACTGGTTCCATTGAAGTTCTGTGGAACACTGGGAGCTGAGGGGAGAGAGAGAGGAGGGGGGAGTGTGAATTTGAAGCAGAAAGGGAAGAGGAAAATACACAACGACGGGAAACGGTAAACTTGAAGCAAGGATACCACATCATTCTCTAAACTAGGACATCACGCACCAACACCATCCTCTTGTCAGGACACCTTTCAACATACTAAGATGCTTTAGGACTAACCAGGACACCTTAAAACAGCATCCAACAATCAGGACACTCTCAAATCAGCCAGGACACTTACCAGGACACACATTACACCAAATCAGGACACTTATCTTTTACTAGGACACACATTACACCAAATCAGGACACCTATCTTTTATCAGGACACACTACACCAAATCAGGACACCTATCTTTTATCAGGACACACATTACACCAAATCAGGACACTTATTAACCCTCGGCGCGCATGCGCAGCGAGGGTTACAGTAGTTGGGTCCGTGTGTCTGTGTGTCTGTCTGTTACTCTACATCTCACCTCTCGAATGTCTGTTCGTCACCGATACCATCTACCCAACGGGCGACGAAGGTCAGAAAATATGTGGGGTTTTCTCTGAAAATGCTCCGTTGCAGAGCTAGAGCGCGAAAAAGCTAATATGCAAATACGCAACGGACGGGATGGCTTACCGTGGTCGTGCTCTGCGTACTTCGGAGGCACCAGAAGATGCAACGCAGGGCGTATCGCCTCTCGCATGCTCTCTAGTAGTGTAGTTAGCCCGCGTCAGACTCTGCGCGAGCTGGCAAGAGACCACGTGTAACAGCTAAAACTAAACCCAGCCCATCAATTAGTCTTGTACGGCGCATGCGTTTACTTACGCGTGCGCGTCACAGTGCGCCGAGGGTTTGCACTTCTGTGCATTCTGTCAGTTAAGTGAGAACTCACTTCTCCAGTCATAGATCGCGTCCAAAACGGGTTTACATACCCAGCGGCCGACGGAGGTCACAAAATATGTGGGATTTTCTCTGAAACTGCTTCGTTGCAGAGCTAGAGCATTTTCCTGTTCGTACGGTACGGCAAGGGCAGCCATTTTAACAACGCGCATGTGTGTATAGACCAAAACGCACGGGACTCCGATTCGGCAGGCGGCCAAAGCGGCTTGGGACTGAGAGTTCAGTAAGTATGCCTCCAACTGAATTGTAGCTCACTAGGTTAGGCTTGGGAGGAAAGAATAATCTTATATACGAACCTAAATACAGCACCAGTAAGTACAACAATCCTACCAGACCTGGTGATACCATTGCCCCACCCATTACTTTACATAATTGTGCGTGTGTGTTCATTATTATCACCGCGCCGAGGGTTTGCACTTCAGTGCCTTTCATCTTTTATCAGGACACCTAGCTACCTTTTACCAGGACACACATTACACCAAATCAGGACACCTATATATATATATACCAGTCAACCACAACACCTCTCGTCAGTCGTCATTCAAACCAATCAGGATGCTGACTCACGGTCAATGTCAGCTGCCACATCCTCACTATCCGATGCTCCATCTCCAGCAGAGTTGATGCCCTCCACAGTAATGGAGTAGTCAGTACCGATATCTAGACCGGTCAGAACCACCGAGGTCTCACTGGCAGGGACGGTGAGAGTTTCGGTCCTACTCGGGGAGGAAAACATGATGCGGTACATTTCCACTGGAGCCGTTGTCTCAGGTTCAATCACAGGCTCCTGCAGTAAAGGACAGAGGATAATAAGGATGAGCGACATTGCTAAAGTGTACTCATAGCACATAAACAGGATAGCACCGTGCTCTGATGTTTGGCATCGCAAAACCAAACTTTCGTGCAACCTCACTGACAAACATACACTTTGAAAGGATGCACCCTTCATCAGAACATGAAACTAAAAAAACAGTATACAGTATATACAAGTCCTATAACTTCTGTGTGTATATATAGTAAGACACTCTTGTGTATGACTGTGTAGTGAGTCTTACTGTCCATGTCACCATGATGGCTGTGGAGTTGACTGCCACTGCATTTAGGTCTCTGACTTTATCAAGAACTGTCGGGAGTGAAGAAATGAAACACTGCCGTCATCGCAACAGTATTCTATCACAGCTAAATTACAAACTCATAATTGGCAAGTGAAGTAAACCTGTGGGGTGGTCTGAATTGCTAATCCACACTGTCACATGACACAATACACAACTGCCTTCACACATAGCGCAGTCAAAAGTTCTCGCTATGTAAAATTGCTTGTGTTTGCTCCGTAAACAAATGCATTGGTCTCCGAACGGCCATACCGCATGTATTAGACAGTGAACTATAGCAGTTGCGTCTTACTTAATGAGTCGGTCACCCCAGTTGTGACGGCTGCCTCTCCCTCCAGTTCCACTGCATTCCTCACGGAGAGCCGGATGGTGTAGGCAGTGAACGGACGGAGGCTGTCGAGGTTTGCCGTCATTGTCGTAGCGTTGCCAGGAATGCCGCGGACAATGTCAAGGTGTCTGCTGGTGAGGTTGACAGTGAAGCCATCTATGGGACTGAATCCACTGAAGACTGGGTTTGTCCAGGATATACTGAGAGATGTAGTCGTCTCTGAATCTGCCACTACACCAAGACAAGTGGGTGGACCAGGGGGCACTGGGTGAAGAGAGAGAGAGAGAGGAGAGAGAGAGAGGATGAAAATAGATATAATGTGTGGAACCACTTCCAACCTTGCTTGCTCGTGTAAATTTACCTCCTGAATAAATCAATATCAATTATGCGATCTAACCCAGTTTCTTAGGTATACAAGTGGAAAAAGCATTTCTTCAAAAATGAAAAGGGGATATAGGGATGACTTGAAGCACCAAAAAGGAAGAAACGAGGGGTCATTACACAAATAGATTCACAGTAAGTCAGTAGCCAGTAAGAATTAGCTATAGCAAAATTTATAGCAAAATTTATATCAAAATGTTTTGCTATAGACGCGGACGTGTTATTAGACGCCGGTCTTGTTTAAGTGCAGAGTTGGTGCAGAAACAACAAAGATTTTCAGTTTAGTGTGCAATAAGGACACCAACAGAATAAAACTTCAACATACCCAGACAGTGGACTCCAGCCCTTTCTCCCCTACGACAGTTATGGTTTTCTTTATGTGGACAATCAAACAACGACGACTCATTACCCGTACACTGTACATCATCTAGCCAGTATTGCACTTCTTCACCATCTCTGAATATTCCCCCTTGATATGCTTCAGCAGCTGAATGAAGTATAAATCAACCGTTTTACTTTCCATTTTAACCCTTGCACTTATGTGCAGTGATGCTAATACTAAAGTTATTCCGTCAAACTGCGTTTTCTTCCACCACACACAACAACTGCCTATCACCTGAAAATTACGTCGTGGATCGTATTTACGTTATGTTGACTTTGATCAGCGTTTACTACAGACAGTACACTGTGCAGGCGCTACGGGCAAACATAAGTGAAGCCAGCTACCAAGGAGCCTCAAGATTCCATTTCCTTACATTACCATTCCTTCAATCACATGCACGCATTGTATCAATCCCCCCGTTTAGCAATATGCTTGCTCAAACGCTGCACTAGTCATCAGGGGAGTTCCCCATTGTTCACATGCATACATGTTTCGGCCTTTTATATCCCGACATGTCACTCAGAATGGGGAGGCCACACAGCCCGCATAACATTAATTGTTACGCTACTGTACTCTGGCAACGCTATAGTAGTATAGCTCTCGAAGATAATTAAGACTGGCGGTATTCACACAGAAACGAAGCCAGAAATTGGTTAATATCACACTCCCTCAAAGTTCGCACACATGCTGGACGACAATCTACCTATTAATTAAGTCATACACTACTGAGAGATGGGCTCGCTTTGCAGCAATCACACATTCTGGCTGACGAAGCAAGCAAATTGCAGTGGAAATGCATTTAGCTACATGTTGAATCTGAGAGCTCAAGTGATTATTATACAGGTGCAATAATATACATGCCAAGCATACCATAAGGCAAGAATCCCAGTTGTCCACAGGCTACCATTGCATCTTTATCGCTCCAAAAATCATCACAAACTGATCTCCATTCACTATTGCGAAGTACCTCAACCAGGCCAGACGTTTCATTACCATCAACAAGACGAATACCCATACTTGTGTCTGAAACTAAAACAATGTAAAAAAATATCAAATGAAATGGGATGTCTGAAGCGCCAAACAATAAAGGAAAGGCCCAAAATTACGTAATTAGAAATTTAGGTTGTAAAGTCGATACGTGTTAGAGCCCGAGGGCATTGCATTATGGCGTTCCAAGTGTAGCTAAGTGAAAGGCCCAAGGGCTTCGATTTAGAATTTACATGCACTTGTTTTTGCATGCACGGGTTGTGCAGGAAAATGGCGCCGCGATCACTTGACCCCTATGTGAGTAACTTCTGGATACAATACTTCAGTTTTTGCCACATGCGAGTTCAAAAGAACTACTACATCAAAGTGAAAAGACTGGTCTTGACAAACCCTCCCACACACTACAATACTTAGCTACCACTCAGTGGCTCTTCACGAACGGATTCACTGGGCGTGTGCTGCTCTCACTAACCGCAATCTCGATCCTACTCAAACTGTACCATCAAACAAACCAGCACACGCAAATCAATCAAGCACATGGTTCGGTGCAACACCCAACCGTCAGTTTCCCACCAGCTTCCCTGGCTTCTCCGCTCCAGAATCTCATTTACCATGCATTCCTCCTAGTAAATATGTCACGTTTCACGCTCAGAGTTGCGCGGTTACCGAGA